GATTATTTTATTTTCTCTTTTCTTCTCTTTTTTTTTTCTCTTTGTATGTGTATGTGTATGCTTAGAAGGACGTCGTAGATAAGCTGAGTCACAAGGGGAAGTTAGAGCAATTACCTCTTGTGTTATTCTCTGTATCTGATTAAACTTCTTCAACACTATCATTTCTTCTCCTTTATATAGAACCCATCAACATTTGATAATATTTTATCTAATTAATTAATTGGTTCCTTATTTTAGCTCTTACTATAACTACTATTATTAGTAGTATTAGTATTATTAGTATTACTCATGCAACAGGATGATTATGTGTGTAAGTATCCCAACACTCTTCCTGGTGAGAATTACGCAGTAATGGGCGGCCTACTTGGTGGTCTCGCATGTACTGCTCTTTACATACTTCTCATGCGAACGGCAGATATGTGTTATCGTAGGCAATACACACATCATGCAGAGAGACCATCAGTGGGGGATGATTGGGAAATACACCACCGTCCTACTGCAATGACTGGTATGTATACATCATCATCAACACTCCCAGCCTCACCGCGGCATGTACGATTTGATGCAAACTTCGTAGAGCGAGTGGAAAACCCCTCATCAGCTGTAGAAGAAGAACAACAACAACAATCACAACAAGAACGAGGTGGGAGTGTTAATAGTCATAATAGTGGTGGTGGTGGGGGACAACATTCACTGTATTCTCGAGGGATGACGTATGAGGATGTTAGTTCTCCTCCTCCATCACTACCGCCTAAGAGATAGAAGACGGTGATGAATATAAAGAAAGAAGGTGTATTTTTTTTTTTTTCTAATATATCTTGGTCATTCGACTCTAGTAAGAGTGTGTTTGCTTTTTTTTTTTTATATTTTTGATCTTCTTTTTTTTTTATTTGTAATTCTTCTATCTTTATTGCTGTATCTTGTACACATTATCATTCTCTCTTATTTGGGTTAAAAAAAAAAAGGGGGGTTCTCCTCCCTGTATTGTGATAAAGTGACTCTAGATCGATGTTTTCTGTTGCGAATGGGTGATGGTATGCTATATTTTGTAGCCAACTAATATATATATATGGTTCACTCTAAAAATGGAATGAAAACTATGCAATAAAGACTCCTTTGATTATTTTCCTTATTCTCTCTCTCTCTCTTTTTTTCTTTTTTTTTTGTTTACTATTACAATACAGTTTGTGTGTTTGTGTGTAATTGTTTCTTTGATTGTCTTGAGTGGGGTGGTGGAGGTGTATCCCACTCTTTAGATTGTTGATGTGCATAACAGAAAAACAAGGAGCACAGAAGTAACATAGACGAAAACAAAAAAAAAAATAATAATAAGAAAAATAATAAATCAATCAATTATTACCATATAAAAAGAAGAATAAATTCTTAGAAGGAAGAATTCAGAGTTTTGCATTTTTACATACACACACACACACACCCTAAGAAGGAGATGAATGGGTTCATTGACTACAGTAACAGTAATAATGGTACTAGTAGTAGTAATAATAGTAAGAATGGCGACTACGCAATGTACATGTGTGGAGAAGTGCCTACTTCCTATCCTAATGGTGTGTTTGTCCCTGTAGAGAATGTAAACAAACGAGGAATGGAGAATGAAGAAGAAGAACAACAACAACAGCAACGAGAACAGGAAAATAAAGAGCAAATGACAAACATTCATTCCTATACAAATATGTACATTTGCCCAGCAGCAGCGGATGCCGCACGGAACTCCTCACGTGAGTTACTACAGGCCTTGTTAAGAAGATCCGACTCCGCACAAATCCAATATACCCCACAAGATCAATTATTCCAACAATTATTTCAACAACAAGTTCAACAGGAAAGTATTCCGCTTGCGATTACATGGCATCCAACAAATATACCGCCCTCTTCATTTCAGTCATTACCACACAAGAAACGAACCCGTGATGCCGTCTCTTTTTATCCACCGAATGTAAATGTTAGTA